GAGGGGACTGCTTTAGTCCATATAAGGCTTTCTTCAATTTACACACCTTGTTAGCTTCATTTGTTATGCCAACACCCGGTGGAATCTCCATATACACTTCTTCCTCTAAGTCTCCATGCAAGAATGCATTTTTAACATCAAACTGTTGCAATTCCCATCCACATGAAGCAGCAAGAGATAGTAAAATTCGAACAGTGTTCATTTTTGCCACTGGGGCAAATGTCTCCTCATAATCAATACCATATGTCTGAGTATAACCTTTTGCCACTAGTCTTGCCTTGTACCGATCAAGTGTGCCATCAGATTTATACTTTACGGTATAGATCCATCTGCATCCAACTGGCTTTTTGTCTCTTTGCCTTTCAATAATCTCCCAAGTACCATTTTTTTCAAGTGCTCTCATTTCCTCATCCATAGCTTGGACCCAATTTCTATTTTGCAATGCTTCTTCAACTGATAATGGGATTTTCACAGAATCAACAGCTGCAATAAAACTTTGATATTGTGTGGAAAGATGTTTAGTGGAGACATATTGAGAGATAGGGTGTCGATATAAGGAGGGACAAGATCTTTTATCCTTCCTCAAAGCAATGGGTAAATCAACTGGATTAGTGTCACAAGTATCAGAAATAGAACAATCATCATTTGAGGAATCATTTTCAGTACTTACCTCCGGTTCAGACGATTGAATTTGTTTCTGGAGAAGGTCAGATTTACTTCTTCTCTGATATACTAGAGTTGGTGCTGAAGGTGCTGATTCCTGTGGAACATAAGGCATTGAAGGACCAGGAACAATTACTGACTCAGATTCAGGTGTTGAACTAGGACTCAAACTCAAACTAGGTGACAACTCGGGTTCAAGAGAGGGAACACTGACAGGTGTTCTCGGGAGGCTAGGACCAAGGATCAGAAACTCGGACTCAGACTCTAAGTCACTCATGTTCTCCCCCTGAGACTGAGAATGAGTGAAGTATGACACATTTTCATGAAAGGTGACATCTTTGGAGACAAAGAATTTCCGACTCGGAGGATGATAACATTTGTACCCTCTTTTATTGGGTGCATAACCCAGAAAGATACATCTGACAGCACGGGGATCCAACTTGTTGCGATATTGTTTGTGAACATGAACAAAAGCAACACAACCAAACACGCGAGACTCAAGATTATGTAAGATAGGAACAGAGGGAAAACGTGAGAGCATAAATTGAGCAGGACTAATATTACCTAACACTCGAGATGGGACCCGATTAATCAGATAGGCAGCAGTAAGAACTGCCTCCCCCCAATAAGAGGTGGGAACAGACATTTGAAACAGGAGAGATCGAGCAACTTCAAGTAAATGACGGTTTTTTCTTTCCGCGACACCGTTTTGTTGTGGGGTGTCAACACATGTGAATTCATGAAGAATGCCATGTTTACTAGTGAAGTTGGAGAAGGTATGATTGACATATTCTTTACCATTGTCAGAACGAACTCTTTTTATACATTTCCCAAATTGTGTTTGTACCATATTATAAAATTGGATAAATATTTGTGGTACTTCGGATTTAGTATTCATCAAGAAAATCCAAGTTACCCGAGTACAATCATCAATAAATGAAACAAACCATTTTGCACCAAAAATATTAGAGGTAGGGGCAGGTCCCCAAACATCAGAATGAATCACATCAAAAGGTTCAGCACTTTTATTAAAACTGGAAGGAAAAGTTACACGATTGTGTTTTGCCAACTGACAAACATCACACTTAAAAGACTCAACAGAATGGTTTAAAAACAATGACGGAAACATAGACTTAATGATATAAAATGGAGGGTGACCGAGACGCTTGTGCTGAAGCCAAATGTGTGAGGCTGAAGAGGAAGACTGAGACTGGAGACAGGAGGACAACACCTTTGGATGGTCATCAGAGAAGTAGTATAACCCTTCCTTTTCCTTAGCAATTCCAATCGTCTTCCCCGTGGTAAGGTCCTGAAAAATACAATGGGACATAAAAAACGTTACTTTACAATTTAGATCACGGGTAAGCTTATGGATGGAAATCAAATTGTGGGAAAGTGTGGGAACATGAAGCACGGATTGCAATTGAAATGGAGGTTGCAAGTCAATATTTCCAGTGCCAACAACACAAGCCTGAGAGCCATCAGCAACAGTGATATAAGGAATACTCGAAGGTGTGGTATAAGAGCATAATAATGTGGAATCAAATGTCATATGATTAGTAGCACCAGAGTCAAGAATCCACGCATTCTTAGGGATATTACCACAAACAGTAAAAGATCGGGAACACAAACTCTTACCGGTAACTGCTAGAGACCCAGAACCAGAAGGCTTACTCATGGAGTCAAGCATAGACTTCAACCGTTCCACGTCATTCTGGCTGAAGGAGGAAAGATCAGTTCCCTCTTTTTCAAATCTGTCAGTATCATGGGCATGTGTGACAACATGTGCCTGATGCTGGTGCATGTTGCGAGAACTACCTCCTCGGCTAAGAACCTGTTCCCTTCCATGTAGTTTGAAACACCTATCCTTTGTATGCCCTGATCGGTTGCAATGCTCACAATAGAATTTGTCACGACCATTCTTAGATGATGACGATGGTGGTCCTTGTCTTGTTGTTTTTCTAGCTACTAGTGCTGACACATCCGGGGGCTGTGCATCAAGCATAGTTTGACGACGGGTCTCCTCACTACGAACAGTGTAAAAAACTTCATTAAGATCAGGAAATTTTTCCTTACCCAAAATCTGCACCCGAATGGGGTCAAATTCAGCATTAAGGCCGGCTAAGAAATCAAAGATCCTATCCCGCTCAACAACAGTATTCAAGATGGCAGTATCCTTGCTGCACTCCATCTTCAAATTCTGATATTGATCCAACTCAATCCAAAAACCATTGAGAACTCCAAAGTAATCGTTGACCGAAAGACTTCCCTGCTTAGTGTTGAATATTTTCCTCTTTAAATCATAACAAGCAGACATATCTTGTTTCATGGAATAACTTCGACGTAGATAATCCCAAACTTCCTTTGCACTTGAGAGATACATGCAATTTCTACTAATTTCTGGAGATATGGAGTTCCAAAGCCAAGTAATAATAGCAGAATCATCTTTATCCCAGGAAGAGAAATTAGGAGCAGTAACCAGAGGAGGATTGCCTTCAATATGATCTAGCATGTCACAACATTTTAGAGTGTGTCTGATGAACTGAGACCATTGAAAATAATTTTTTCCGGTAAGCCAGTAACCTTTTTGAACGACAAAATCCTTAGCATTAAATGGGACTGGTGGATTTGTGGGAGGTGGAGGCGGTGGATTTGTGGGAGGTGGAGGCGGAGGCGGAGGCGGAGGTGGTTGTTGGTTAATAATCTCGGCCATTGAAGGGACAATCGAGAGGAACAAACAGCAGATATGTATTGAATCACAAAGAATACAAAGAAACCAAAAAACAAGCAGTAGGGTTGCAATAGAACTGCAATAGAATGAAAAAACAGCAATGATCCAAACACCCAAAAAAACTGCAAGGATGACCGGCAGTGAAAAAAAAAAAAAAAAAAAAAAAAAAAAAAAACACCGTTACAACGGCGGCTAGGGTTTATGCGGAAGCGAGACCCCCAAAAAACAGGAGCTGAGATACCATATTGTAAAATATTTCACTGATAGAATTAAAAGTACTATTTACAATGTTGCAACTACATGCTTTAAATAAGAGAGAATAGAAACCCTAATGGGTTTTGACTAATGGGCCTCATTACTAATACTACTAATTACTATTTACAGTCTAATATTTACAACATATATATATATATATATATATATATATATATATATATATATATATATATATATATATATATATATATATATATATATATATATATATATATATATATATATATATATATATATATATATTAAATCTATGTAGATATTTGTGACGTGATTTTCAAGTAATAAGTTTGTGGCGTGAATTTCACATGATAAATTTTTGACACATAGGAGACTAAATCTACAAATTATATTGAACTTTGTAGCGTGAAAATCGCGTGACAAAGTGTTGCAACGTAAAAATCACGTGATAAAGTTGTTGCGTGATTTTCATTTGTCACAAGTTTTTCTGCCGTGTGATTTTTCATATCACTAATTAGCAATTGTAACATGATTTTTATCTTTATATTGTGAAAATCGTGTGGTTAATTTGTAATTACTTTTTTTTCTATAGTAATTGTTGCTAGTCAAGCCACGTCTCACCACTGTAAAACAATGATTATGGCAAAAAAAAAATGTTTCTGATAAAAGTGAGATACGAGTCAGTTTTATTGGACTCTAAAATGAGCAAGAGAGGTTTGTGTGCGATAAAATGGGTATCAATATTATACTTGCATTTAATACAATATAGGTTAAGCAAGGAAGATTTGTGTTGCAACGCCCCCATTATCTCCATCTAAAAATATAAGCACCCAGTAATTATACCCAACAAAATTATGTGATGCAAGGCCTCATTAATATTTACCAAGTAAAACTTGTCAAACCATGGATTGTTTTCTTTAACAACAATGTCTAAATGCATTCGTCTTGCCCAATATTGAAAAACTATTATAAATAAATAACTAATATTCCACATTCAAGAGGTATATCTAGTGATGATTGTGAATGGCAAAAGAAGAAAGAAAAAAAGTTGAAGAAGCATCCGATGCTATATTGATAAGGTTTTACTATACAAGTGGAGTAATTCATATCAAAAGAAAATTGAACAACACTGAATATCTTTATCTCTAGCCACACAAACAAACACGAATCTATATTTGTACGAAGACTTCTCTTACTACAATGTTATTAAAATCAATTATAAGGTGATGTTAATGATAAATCTATGTTATTCCGGAAACATCCAGGAATTTCTAAACAAGTAATCACTTTTTATATATACCAAAATAAAGCTTTATTCTTAACTACTACCATTTCTAGCATCAACCCTTCTTCTTGGTCTTCTCCCTTCAAAATGGAAGGAACAACAGAAACAAGACCCGAACTAGTAGTTCTTCACGATGGACCACCACCTGAAGAACAACAATTACAATCTCTCATGTGCAAGGTAAACCAATCTTACATTATTTCTTCTGCATGCGCGCATGCATATCTTTATAGAAACTTGTTCTAATCTTCTTGATTATGATTATGGTTATGACTCTTTTCTAACAGTGCTGTGTGTTAAAAGTCTCCATTCATTGTCAAGGCTGCATGAGAAAAGTCAAAAAAGTCCTCCAAAGCATAGATGGTAATAACAACTAATAATTTTATCGTTAATATTTCTGTGCTATTTCTGTATAATCTTTAATATAATTTTGTAATTTCAGGTGTTTATCAAACTACAATTGATTTGAAGCAACAAAAGGTTGTAGTAATGGGAACCGTAGATACAGATACACTGATTAAGATACTCGCGCAAACCGGAAAACGAGCGGAGTTATGGCCGGACACAGAACCAATAAAGAAGAAAAAGAAAAAGAAGAAGAAAAAGAAGAAACCTAAACCAGAGAATAATCAAAACACAGATCACAAACAAAGCGACGGAGATAGCAGTGAAGAAGGAAACCAAACCGACGGTAACGAAAACGAAGCTGTTAAGGTCGTTGTTCAAGACACAGCACCGAGAAATTCTGCCAATGAAGGTTGTGGTGGAGGAGGCGGCGGCGGCGGCGGTAGTGGTGGAGGAGGATGGCCAAGCGGTAGAGGAAGTGTACAATTCCAAGAACTAAAGCCTGAGGTGAGACACGTTATGAATTTCCCAGGCGGAAATGGTAACCAGTTACCGGTTGCGGAGAAAAGAGTTACGGTCGCGGTGGAGAACGGAGCGGGAAACGACGGTGGATATATGAGGAATAGAACTTTTTACAGAGGGCAAAAAGGGAATAGCGAAGGTTTAAATGTTACTTTCGAACAGCCACTTTCTGGTGATTGGAATCAGAATCAGATGCAAGGTAATGGGCCTTATTGTAATGGGCCAGGCCCGGGATCGGGCCCAGGACATGTTTCGTTTATGGGCCCACCTAATGAAAGTTCTCCACGGAATCAATACCCATCGCATTATCATGGTCACGCACCAGCATCTCCTACTGCGGTGTGTGGTGGAAGCAGCTTTCATACGGGGTATACTCCTTCGATGAGATACGGTGCATCGTATTGTACGACGTCGTCGCAACCGTATTCGTATACGTATGCACATCAAAGTAATGATTCTGATCCGGAATCTTATGCTTATACTACACCGTCTCGCCGGTCACATTCATTTGAATTATTTAGTGATGAAAATCCTAATGCTTGTTCAGTTATGTGATATAGGAGTATCTATCAACTGAATTGCAATCTATTTGCAATTAATTAGTTGGTTGATAATTAGTGGTGCTGGCTAATGTTAGCTTAGTGAAAAATATGGTTAAGCTCATGCTGTCGAGGATTTGAAGTGGATATGTTTTCTAATATTAGGCTATATTCATGCCTAAATATCTTTTCTATGGAATAATACTTAAAAATTAGGGCATGTAATTTAATTGAAATTTTGATTTTAATTTGTTGATTATTGAATTAAACATATTTTAAGACAAATTTTTATACCTTTACAAATATGATGAATAGTGATATTCACAATTTTCATTTTTTATACTTTTTTTTCTAAAATAACATTGATTAATGATGTATTAAAATTTAATTAATATAATTTATAGTTTGGATAATGTGTCATGGTATTAAAGAGTATTTTTAAGTAATAAAATAAAATTGATTATTGAAGTGTAAAAACATGATTAATATAATTTAAAGTTTGGTTATTATAAAATAAAATTTTTATGTGATAAATCAACTTTGATTAATAGTGTGCCAAAGATTGATCATTAATATATTTTATAGTTTGGTTAACGAGTTAGACATAAAAAATAATATTAAGTTGTGTTTTGGATCGAACCAGAATTATTCTTGAATTATGATATTGAACTCTTGATGTGGTGATGCAAGTCTTTAGTACGGTGGAACACAGAGATGGACCAGCAAAGTTAGTATTCCAACGCCAAAGATAGTAAAAATCGGAAAAAAAAATATAGAGTGAAGTATGAAAAGCGTGTGTACCCTTAGTCTTACATATGTAAAAAACACATATACTCCTAAATCAAATGCTTGTTGGGCTTTCTTAGGAAGTGCAAGCAGACCTCTCTTATTGGATATTTGGTCGACCTAGAACAATTATCCACATACTTGTCATGAAGTGTCGAGCGAATAGTAATGCATGCGGGAATATATGGAACATATATCACATAACACAGACAACAATAGTTGTTGGGTTGTTTTCGCTATTACAAATAATTTTTATATATTTATATCACTAATACACACAAATAATATAAATAAAAAAATATAAGTAATATACTTACTTTTGGATATACAAAGTTTGGCTTTTTACTAAGTAAATTTTATTTATTTGCATTATGTTCCTCTATTGCTCTACACATGTCAGTCAAAATTAAACATGAATAAAAACTATTTAAATCTAAAGTTAAAATTTGAGTATTAAGAATAATACCAGTTACCCATTCAAAGCGTTAGCCATAACTGTAGGCAGCACAAAGTGCAACGAGCAAAACACAAATATAGCATTTTTTTCTCAGACATATAGCAATTAGTTGTCAATGATCACAACATAAACATTCAGAATAATTAATAATATGTATAAAATTGATTTATAAATGAAAACACAAAGTAATATATACTTACTCGTGGTAAAACGGAGCCAAATAACATTCATTGTTCTCTTTTAACTTTTCTTGTATGTAAACAAATATATTATTTCCTGTCGAGCCGCAAGTAAGACCAAACAGCGATGGATCAATGAAACAATATTTTTTTATATTCCTTTCAATACAAAACTTGTACATGAACCTACAAGAGTAAAATCTTTATGTTAAAGTACACGGTCGACCTTGTGCAAGAGCAGCAAACTCAACCACACAAGTCCCAAATTCATTAAAACAAAAAAATACCATGATAAAAACTCAATACATATAAAAATGAGATGAGTCAAAGTCAACATAATTATAGTTAAATTTATTTTTTATTAATATATAATTATATTTTTATATTATCATTTTTAATTATTTTAATTGCATTTTTTTTTAAATTGCGCCCATTTTTCAAATTAGAATGAAGCCTTTGAATTTTTTGGGTTGGCCCTGTTAAAATACAAGAACTTATGAATATAAATAGAAAACAAAATAAAAACTATACTTACGAGTACCAAAATTGTTTAGGTACTTATCTCCATTCGAAAATTCATTAATAGAATCTTTAGAAAGTACGAACTTGGATCATGCCTTAATGTAATACCCAAGCATGATTCTGGAATACTTTCGAATATCATTGATAGTCTCTCAATATTATCTAGTTTTGGTGGTGTGGTTTCAATACTGCACCGGTTGGCAGAAAAAAATTATTTCGTGCTTGTACCACCCGTAACTTTCTCAATTATATTCTCTTGAATTTCTAACTGATTTGAATTTGTGTGGTTGTGTAGATTCAACGAATTCAATTTCTGCATCGTAAAAACAACATAAATATAATACAAAATTAAAATACGCAAACAATAACAACCACAACATACAACTTATACCTCAAGCACATTGCGGGTACACTTCTCAGACATATTCTCAAGATCCTTCTCGACCATCCTCTTTCGCTCCTCCTCGACCTTCCTCTCTCGCTCCTCTTGTTCCTTCTGGACACTCTCTCACACCTTCTATAACAACCTCACTCTCTTTCTCTCCCATCCTCCAAGATTCTCTCCCGCTCCTCCATCCATATCTCCCTCTTCTCCCTCAACATCCTACGTTCCTCCATCCATTTCTACCTTTCCTCCCCTAACTTCTCCCTTTTCTTCCCCAACTTAACAACAACAATCTCTTCAATGTCTCTCATACAATTTTCTTCTTTAGATGATTTAGATGGTCCATAAAATAACTTGAAGGCAACGCTTCTTCCAAGATGTCATGACGACCTTGTGAAGCGAAGAGGCCGACTTTGGTTTGTTCAACCAAACCATCCTACAACACATATGAAATTTCATCTTTACCAAATTGATTTAACCAAAATAAATATTGTTAAAAAGAGTATATACTTACAATCTTTTAAGCCACTTTGTGCATAACATCTGATGTGAATTCACCGTCTTTTCTTTAACGTGCCCTATTCTATTTCTCGTTGCATGATGGTAGAGATAAAGTGTGATCAAGGCTTATAGAATCTCCTAGCTCTAGTTTCCTTTGTTTTCTTTTTTCTTCAATCATCTTCTTTTAAAGTTTTGATATCCTCCACGAGACAATCTATGTGGATAGATATTTCTAGCTCGATTTTCCATTCCTTTTTTACTCTTTGCCTAGAATCCCGTCATGTCTTTGATATGTGAGGTGTAGTGATTATTCCGCGACTACTATGAGATAACATGATTAAATGTATGTTATTTTGAATCTCTGACCTTCTTTTTAGAATTTATTTTCTTACCCTTTATATAACATTCCATACATGTCACCACTTAAACCAAGGAAGTTGCATGCCTTTAGACTAGAGACTCATTAAAATGTTCTGCCCTGAGCTCGTTCTGGAATGCTCATACAAAAGTTTCCTAGTTGGGATGAACGACCTTGATTGTCGCCTCATTGAAACGGGAAAGGTACTCCCTTAAATATTCATACGGGCCTTGGTGAATGTTGAAAATGTTGGAAGTAACCAAATTTATGTGCCTGCTTGTTGCAAATTGGTGAACTAGTTTCTTCACAAAATCCTAATAGTTTGTGATGAAGAGCCAAAACAAACCCATGAACCACCTTAAGGAAGCATCTCTAAAGGTGTTAGAGATGAGCTCACACTTCAATGAATCAGAAGCTCCAATAATTTTTGTTTGCGTGTTGATAGAGGCGACATATGCTCATACGGGTTGTTATGTCCATCAAACTTAGCTAACGATTGTGGCTTGAAATTCTATGACACGTAAACCTCCCATATTTCACTAAGAGAGGTCAGGGATTCTATATTTCAACGTCATATACAGGGACAACCTTTTGTTGACTTTGTTGGACATAGATATCGTTATCCTCCAAAATTTGATTATGGCGGTGCAAGTCATCCATAGCAACACACATCTCTGGCATGACGTTTTCCTCGCCTTCAGATTCATCATTGGTCGGAGTTGATGCATTCTTGTTAATCATGATAGATGAAGGGGTTGAACGTGAAGACAACAATCTAGTTGAATGTTGTAATGGTAACCTATGTCAGTTTTAATGAAGCCCCGACAATGGGCACCATTCTACTTGCTAAAAGTATAATACATGTGACCCTTAGTGATTAAGAGCTGTTAGAGGTTTTCAGAGTTTGTTGTGAGGTTAGAGTTAGTTAATACAGAGAGGTGAGAAACTTTTTATATGACATCTGAGTAATGATATCACTCTTTCAAACGGTTGAAATATTTACATAGGCCCCTAGGCTGGGACCTTAAACATCCATGAAATAACAACCGCTTATAGGAGCAGGGGAATGAGGCAATTAATCCCCTATTATTCAAGACAACATGATAAATTCCCCTTTTGACTCCATTATTCCACTATTGGAGACTGAAACACATCACATCCATATTTTTTTGCAGAAAGACGATTAATCCAAAAAATGGATGTTACATCCAAATAATAGGTGCTCGATCTAGTAAACGAAAAATCAAAAAGGTGTTATGAGTGAAGTGTCACGTCGCTCCCCTTCCACATCGGGCCCTGTGAGCCCCTTATAAATATACTAATACAAAAGGCAAAATAAAAAAGAAATAAGGTACTTTAAAGTTATGTTTTACTTTTTATATATTATTATAGATTAAAAATATATATAATGATATAAGTAATATTAATAATTTATTTTCAAAATAATAAACTTTATCAATAAAATTTCTCAAATAACCATCTTTCTCAATTAACTTACCAAGTATTAATGTTTCAAACAAAAAATTGCAAGGCAGAGCACTAGCAAATTCAATTGACGACTCAATTGCAAATATAAGTGCCCTAGCCAATTGAATTGAAGACTGAACCTAGTCTAGCCAATTGAATTAACGAGAATATTTTACAGTAACGACGACGTCTCGCTTGATCGTGCATGCCACCGATTTCACACACTTTAAGTACCTATTTTCGTACCGGTCTCTGTTGATTCTCCTTAGGTGTTTGATACGAGTTTTCTATAACATCACCATTACCAGGTTTCTTAACAAGTTCTTGTAATTCTATGTAGTCTTATGTATGCATTGATGCGCTGTCATAACTTAGTTCGTTGACTTGTCATTGTAGTTAGACTTTGTTCTTTGAGTTGATATAGTTATTAGTAAGCGACTTGATTGATTGAAAGATGACACTGATGTGAATGCTTCATTATGAAAAGAAAAAAAATGATTGCTGTGGTGTTTACGGCCATATATTTATTAAATATTTTGGTGTTATGATGTTAGAGTTTTGGAATTAATGGTAATTCTAATATATCAATAAATTGAAAGGAATTATTGATTTTAAAACAAATTATATATAATATAAATGAAAAGCAAGAAATTTTTTTAAAATTGGAAAAAAGAAAAAGAAAAAGAACGGTGGATCTCAAATGACTATTTCCCCCTTCTTCTTCCCGCCAGACAGTGTCAGTTCATTGAGCGAGATCCTATACTGTAGAAATGGAGTTCACGCTAAGCGATAACTCTCTCAAAACCTTTGCACGATGCATCACGTGCCTCGCACGTATCGGAAACGAGCTTTCGATTCAAGCTTCTTCTTCTCAGGTAACTCTAACATGTACATCTTCAACACTCTCACTTTCTACTTCGAATTAGGGTTTTGGAAGCATATTTTCATTACTTTCTACTTCAGTGAAAACCTAGCAGTAATCACTTATTTTGTTGCTTTTGATTTCTTGCAGCTTCTTTTCCACACTATCAATTCATCACGGTCTGCATATCAATCCATCAATTTCAAACCCAGCTTCTTTGACGTATACACGGTTTCCAGTGTTCCCGTGCAATGTAGCGTGCTTCTGAAGGTTATATAGGTCTTTTCTGGTTTATCATTTTACGTGATTTTGAATTGTTTTTGTAAGTGAATAATTTTCTGACTAATGTACTTTGATTAGGCTGTTTGTGCTGTTCTTAGGACACCTATTGCAAATATTGATCATTTGACAGTGAAGTTACCGGAGCCGGATGCTCCAAAAGTTGAGTGGATTCTAGATTGCTACAGTGGTGAGTTGCTTAGTTTAATGTTATGTATAGTATGATGAGAGGTTAACCATTTACCTGTCTTTTGTACCAAACTTGATTTTGTAGCTTTTTTTTTAATTGAGTTTGTAACCCTTTCTACTCTGTAGCAGTTTTGGAATACAATCTGCCGATAGAATTTAAATACTGATAATATGACAGTTTTTTCTAAGTTTGTCAGGTGTTAACACATTTGTTTTAGATTGGCATTATATTAGATGTCATAGCGAGATCCAGCATTTTGGTTAGCTGCTTGAGAATCAGTTAAAGTTGACGACTCGATGTAACTTGTTTAGGCTATTTCGAAATCTGTCGCATGTGATAGTTTTAAAACTATTCGGCAGCAATATTTTCTTTAGGGTCTATTTGAGAGTTGGATTTTGAAGGGTTTCGAAATATATTTGATATTTTAAAGAAAAACATCATAAATGATCATTCAGTACTTCAATCATCACACTTAATTCATTTTTAAAAACATTTATAGTGTCAATTTAAAAAAAAAGTATTATTTGGGGCTACGGAATGTTAAACCATTTCTGAACTAGAATACCTAGTATTATTTGGGGTTACTAAGTAAATGGTGCTACTATGCTAGGCATCACCATCATCTTACTTCCATTTTCTCACCACTCAACACTGTATGTTTATGTGTGTGTGTGTTTGTTTGCCTATTATGAATTGAAAATGATATTTTATTTGTTAACTGCAGGTATGAGAAAAACCTATTGGATTACTTGCAATGTTGAACCTGACATTCAGCACTTGTCCCTTGACAGGCAAAAATTTCCAAGCAACTTTGTCGTGAGGCCTCGAGATCTGAACAGGTTACTTGCTAATTTTCAATCATCTCTTCAAGAAATCACTATCATTGCAACAGAACCTGCTTCTGTACCTCCTGATTCTGCAAATGAAATTGGTGGAAAGGCCGTTGAACTTCGAAGTTACATTGACCCAACCAAAGGTAACAAAGATGCTTCTGTTGGTATATTTATTGGCAGTATATTTATGTCAACAATTTTGTTATGGCAGACAATGACTCGTTGCTACACACCCAACTCTGGATAGATCCTAAGGAGGAGTTTTTGCAGTATGTTCATACTGGGGACCCGGTAGATGTGACTTTCAGTGTAAAAGAACTGAAGGTACAGTTAGCCAAGTCTTTTGATTACGGTGGGATATTTAAGCTTTTATGATTTTGACAGAGATTGCTGTCAGATGATATTACAATTTTTATCATGCCATTTTCCATAATGTCGTTAATTCCATCTTCTCCCGTTCTAATGTTAATTTAAACCTTTTAGGAATGTACCTGATGTTTTTATCACCAAACTGCAGGCATTTCTTTCATTTTGCGAGGGTTGTGAAATTGATATCCATTTACATTTTGAGAAAACTGGCGAGTAAGATAAATTTTGAGCCCATATCTTTATTCTTGCTTACATGCATATCAAACATATCCTAGAAATGGTGTCAGGATATATGTTTATTTTGGCAGTTGATATACTTTTAGTTGGAAAGTTGAGAGAAGATATAAATGGGAAGTTAGGGATATGAAGGAAAACCTCTGTACATGGTCTATGCCTAACCAGAAGTAAAACATAATATGTGGAGTGCAAGTTTTGAAAATGACTGACAAATAAGCTCCAAAGTAGAGGTGAAAATTGGAGAGCAAACAATACCGCAAATCTCATGTTGCGAGTACCTTGGTTGGTTCCATTATTTAAACTTTAAAGTGACAAGAGATAGAGGAAGATGTCAACCATAAGATCCAAATAGTATGCATGAAATGTTGTATGGGACTGAATTTTGATTGATAACAAGTAAACACAGTGTTGCAGACTTGCAGTGGTGATAATGTTACAATTGACGAGGTGTTTCACAAGAAAAGATATAAATAGAATTAAAATCATTTGAGAGAAACTTGGGATAGCCCCGATGGTAAAGCAAACAAAACTATAGGCCAAATCACGAAGAGAAACATAAAGATTACCTATCTATGTTTGAACCAATACATAACAGACTTTGTAATGTCAATTTATCCATGACGCCGTCTTCACCTTCCGAAATGATGTTTAGTTGTTTTGTTGTTGTCTTTAATAGTTATGATGTGTTATTAATCTTTATTCTTGAATGACATTGCACTTGACAATCAGACCAATTCTCATGGCACCTAAATTTGGTTTGGAAGATGGGTCCCATTCAAATTTTGATGCTACCCTTGTACTGGCAACCATGTTAACATCTCAGCTTCATGAAACCGCAGCATCAGAACCTCCAGTGGTGCCTAACAATACACATGCTCGAACTGAAGAGAGAAATGAATCTCCATTGCAGCAAGAGAACTGCAGATCGAATGCATCAGGGCTTCCGTCTGACCACACCCGTATTTGGTCAGACCTTTCAGGTAATTTCAATATTGAGTTGTATGATTTGTCATTGATCTAAATTCTCAGCAGCATTTGCATTTTGCAGCAACTGCAGTTAAAAATACTAGTGCTATGGAAGAAAGGCAGGCACAAGAAGGAACAACTTTGAATGATAATGAACAAAGAGACATTCAAAAGATTAGTACAGTGCGAATTTCAAGAGGAAAATTAGCTGCAAGAAATAATCCCAATGACTCCAATTTGTATCCTTGATGTTACTTTTTGTCTCAATATGTTATCATTTCCAGCATCACGTACCCATAATGTGTTGGATTGTAGTTCTGTTATGTCTTTAAATAATTTTTAAATATTTTTTTTCTTTACTTGAGTCTTTGTTGTATGCTATCTGTGTCCTACTTTATATCCCTGCAAGTAGTTAGCTAAAAGGTTTTGTTGGGACTAAGTTTGACATAGATGTTGGATTAAGTCTTTACTTGACTTTACCTTGACTGGTATCTAGCTGCCAACCAACTGAAAATGATCACGTACAAGAGCCTCAAGGTTAGTCATCCAGGCTGGTTAACGAGCTTGCACGATGCTCTTATTATTCCTTCAGTTACTGATATAATTTATGCATTTATCTAGATATGTTGCCGAATGATGGTCAAGCGGTTACACAACATCATCCCAGTAACTGGGTAGATGCTGAAGAGGATGACGAAGACGATGCTGATGAGGATGAGCAGTACATTCAGGCAACACCACCATACTATGATGAACAATAATAATTCAAAGAACTCTACTATAGTGGCTCTTTATCTTGGTAAGTGCTCTGGCTTATTTCGTAAATGCTTTGTTTCTTGCAGCTTTCTGATTGCGGTCAGCAACCCATCACCTAGCGCCTGTTAAGAATTATTTTCTTGTAGACTATGTAATTAGGGGAGTATTTTGAAGAGCCTGTTTAGAACTTATTTGACACATCTCATAATATAAGCACTTGTGTTGGTTCTTGTATAAACCTATATAAATAACTTATGATGTGTATATAATTTCTTTTCAACTAATATCAGTAGTTACTCCGAGATTAAACTCCTTAAAATTGTTCAGTGAGTAATCCTTAATTCATATGTTCATCCAAATGCACCTTAAGTCTACCATTTAGAAGAACGATTCTTACTTTTGCAGTTACATGGGCATCTATACCAATGCTCGTACCAAATATATTATTGCCTTATCTCTGAATCATATGCAGCTTCCCTTAGCCACGCTCCACAAAAATTAACTAGAAAGTACACTCACTTGAATCACATTGAAACAAATCAATTTCCAAGTCATAACAGATCTACATTGTCAGCTTCCTTAGATCATAGGGATACAAAATTGGATATTTTTAACTTATGGTTTTAGATTTGATCATTAAATCAATTCACAGAAGAAAAAAAATTGTTAGGAGTGAGGTTGTCAAAATTGGGATTTTGTATAAGATCGAAAGGGAATACCAAGATAGTAAAACATGAAATCGTGACTAAGATTGGAAAATTCTACCCATTTATTTTTGTAAAATTGAGAGGGGGTGACAAGATCGTAAAACATAAAATCGTAATAAAAATTGTAAAATACTACTAAAACGAAAAATAATACTTTATATTTGAAGTGTTTTTGCATTATATTTGGCAGACAGGTGGGAAAGTGATTTTTTTTCATATTCTTTGTGATTGAGTTTTTGTTATACTTTATTACTATCACAAGAAATATTTGTTAGACATTAGTGACATATTTAGTCTATAATTTGTTTTATCATGAGTCTAATTTAAAACAAACTCTACAATTAATTAGTTTATTCTTTGAACCTTCAATCTAAAACTTAATCATTTCAAAAGGCATACATTCATCACCGCAAAGCTATAATTGTTGCGCCTTTGCATCTTGGTGGCAGCTGGAAAACGATTGATCGTTGTCATAACTGACCAAGATCGCTCACAATCAATGGTTTACAATATTCTTTTCTCACAATTTAGTTAAAAAAACGCAATTCTACTTAAGATTTTAAGATTTAAATCGTAATTTTGATAACCATAGGTAGGAAGACTTTGCCTTGGTAAAACTTAAGAAGTATTTCATGAGAATAGTCCTCGTTTTATCGATGGAAGAAAATAATAAAATGAACAAATAAAACAGGAACTAGAATAATAACGATATAATATATTAAATGCCATATCTCACATCTTTCTGGTACATGTTTTGCCAGCTAGTTTGGTTGACAATGTGGAGGCCAGAGAACCCATTCAGAAGGATAAGGAAGTAGGTAGCTACTTGTATATTATTTTAGATTCGAATATCAGGATTCCCTGCAAGATTAGTTATGGGAGTTCGACTACATTGGACTCGTTCAACTGTTTATACCAAATTCCAGATAATCCTAGATTTGACATTGGTTTCTTCTGGATTCTAATTTAATTTTCCTGACATGTGAATATATGTTTTCTTCCAAACAATTTGATAGATTTTAATTTTAACAAATACTTTGAGTGACAACATATTAGCCTAAAGCAAATTATAGCATATTCTTTCTTTAGCATTTAGGATAAATAAAAATGTGGTGATTAAAAAATGACCTAAAAGTGTTGTTTTTGACATAGTCATTTCGGGTTTGGTAGATAGTGGACATTTCTCTCAAGTTAGTAGGATTTGTTTAATCATTTTTGGTTTGTTAGCAGCTGGAAATGCCGGAATGAAAGGAAGCTTCGGAACTTGAACGCGTTAACACCTGTCAAGGGAAAATGTAAGTTATTGGGCACAAGTATGAATAAGAAAAATCTAAATTTAAATTATGATTCAAATGATTTATTGGCCAACTTTTATCTACTTTTTACGAATTTTTTATTAGTTATTTTTTATCTCTCGCCTGTAGATGTGACGATATTTTGGGTTTAATTTATAATCATGGTAGCTTCTTAATACTACTAGTTTATTGATTGATCCTAGACTAGACGGCTTTATATAGAAACTCAAGTCATATAAAAAGAAAAAATACTTGACAATTCTTCTGAGAAATGATATTTTTCCATCACTCTTGTATTATATAATGTACTGTATTTCACTGTTCATTAATATAATATATTAATACAGTGAATATTATTAGTGAATAATAAAATATTATAATAATAAATATATATTTTTAAAATATAAACTTTTTTTATATATTTAGAGAAATGTATTAGTATCTCGCATATCTGTTATATTTAACGGAAATTCTTTAATCAACTTTGCGAATGAGAGTGTTAGTATATGTTATTTGATTTCTTCTATTTCTTACGACATACTTACAAAGAGAAATAAAGGAAAAAAAAATATTTTTTATTAGGATATTTGACGAGGTTTTTGAATATCGCTCTTATTTATCTTAAGTGCGATGAAAAACTCAAAGCTACGTACTTATGAGCGAGAAAAATATATATATTTTAATTATTGTGCTTGACGATATATTGAATCTCGCTCTTGTGTAACACTCTAAATCCCCAAATGCGTGCAAGAAATATGAAGATTTCAACCAAGATGTCATATTAACAACTTCCATTTTATCAACAAAATGCGAAAACTAAAAAACATAACATTAACAACTTAATTTTCAAATAACTTAAAGTAATAAGATATAGCAAGGTAGTTTATTCAACAAAACATAAAAATGTAGCAAAATCCAATTCGATGTTACAATATCAGAGCAACACCGGATATAAACAACAAACAAAGGTACGGCGAACATAAACAAAACAAACTAGCGAAGAGGCTAATTGCAAAATCCTCATTAACCGATAGCTAATCACTCTTGGTCCTCAACATGGGAATCACTTGTAACAAATGCAACAATTGAAAACATAGAAACAAGAAAGGGGTGAGAATACATTCATATATGATAACAATACATAAAACAACAAGGATAACTCACATATCAAACATATTTCGTCAACACAATATACAACATATAAATCATTATGCAACATGTATTTCCTCTACTCTCATGTATGTGGTATCATCCTACAACCCTGAACTGAAGGCCTATAACACTGAATATCAGAGTTATGTTATTGATAGATCCTCAACATTGGACCGAAGTCCTACAACACTAGATCAAAGTCCTACGCTATTCTCTGATAAAGAAATGCAAACAATCACCATCCAAACCTCCCACTTCCATTATCAATTATCAATCACAACACTGGACCGAAGTACTTAAACACTAGACTGAAGTCCTACAACAGTGGACCGGAGTCCTACAACACTGATTCCTCTCTAAACCTAAAACTCATCATAACTCAGCATAATAATAAAAATATATTATTTTCTCATCAATACTCACCAACAACATTAAAATCGCATCGAGAAATCATATTTTCCTACTAATCATACATCATATTCGAATAATTATTTAAAATGTCAAACGGAGTTGGGAATTAAGAAAATGAATAGGTTCCGGAAATCTTAGAGAGTCTAATTAAGAATATGATTTTTATTTCAGGATATAACACACCAATTGGTTCAGTTTAATCAAACCACAAGAACGAGTACTCACATCGGGCTGAATGTTTCGCCTGATTTCAAAATGGCGCAAAAAAATATACTTATGAGAAATTATGAAATTTTCCTAATGAAAATACATCAAACCTCTTTCCAACGCACTTAACTGTACCTCAAAAGGAGTTATGAAACTCTAGCTCTATTTGTTTCAGCGTAGCCCTATCACAAATATTTTCTACATAAACTCTAAAACATAATGTTTGACTTCAAAATAGCACACACAATTATATACTCATGATAAAATTATGAAAATCTTTAGTTTGAAAGATCATTAAATTATCTTTCTACGCAACTAACAGCATACCAAAAGGACTTACGAAACTCAAGTTATGCATGAAATAAGACGACCAATCCTCTTAAAGACGACGGGTACTCGAAAGGAAAGCTATTATGGTTTGTATCTAAGTACTCGGGTAAAAAGGGGGATATTACGTCCGATTGATCTTTTTTCATTCGTAAAGGAATGAGTTAAATTCAATTGCGTTATTATATTTTTGAGAGGATGACTGTCACACCCTCATTTTCACCTTTAGCTTTTTATACCCTACATTCATCATATCATACATCGTTCTATTGCATACCGAACATGTGGGTTCACAAGGTGAGGATTGGGTCGGTTCGTTTCAAATGAGATAAATTGCCTATCATGGGCTACTTGGAAGACAAAGTTTTTCACCTAAGGTTTAATCTAAGTTGGAAAATCTACTCATGTAGATTACTTCAAGAAAAGGTTATTTGAAAATATGGGGATATTCAAGATAAATATTCCTAATGAACATGAAATGCAGGGCTAAATTCAAGACTTTTTCCATGTTTGTTTCTATGGTCAAGTGGAGTTCAAATTTGCAAAGCATGAGTCAAGATCACAAGTGCATAATTCAAGACTCCATTCATTTCAAATTCAATGGTATAAGGGAAATCCATCATTCAAAATTCAAGATTCATGAATTCAAGGCTAGAATTTTACAAAGGGAATTTCATGACATTACAAGACTGTCATTTGTTACAAAATTTCCAACTCTAAGTAATGTTTAGGAATTAATCTATTTCTAGTCTTCATTCAAGTTTCTAATGAAATTCATGCAATGGTACCCTTCATGCCCCAACAAATTTACATGTCCAACATTATGCTTGCAAACATCCAAAGAAAATATTTAAGAGTTAACTCAACATTGAAACATGTCAAGATCAAGACTATGTTTGCTTAACC